ACCTTTTCCCTGTGAAACAGGTAAAGATTATTGCTGAGAGTGAGGGGGAGGAGATAAAAGAGTTTGTGAAAAGAGGAGAACATTTGGAATATGGACAGAGTGTGATGTTGAAGAGGGCTGGCCAGGAGCAAGCTGAAGACTTCTGGGCAGTACCGATCCCCTATGCCCCACCCCAAAAATGGAGATACTGAAGGAGGAGGGTTTCCTTAGTATCTCACTCATATACACCTCTAACCTCACACTTGTTTACTTGTCTATCTTCTTGGAATATATAGGACACAAGATAAGTGTTTTTTGTTTTTTTTTAAAGATGACTGGTAAGGGGATCTTAACCCTTGACTTGGTGTTGTCAGCACCACGCCCAGCCAGTGAGCGAACCGGCCATCCCTACATGGGATCCGAACCCGGGGCCTTGGTGTTATCAGCACCACACTCTCCCGAGTGAGCCACTGGGCCGGCCCAAGATAAGTGTTTTTAAGAAAAAGTTTGACAAACATTAGATGAGAGTTCTGTAATGAAAGAAAAGGGCAGAGGCAATATATAAAGGAACAATGGTTGAGAATTTTCCAGAACCGATAAAAGACACAAAAGCACAGATTCTAGAGGTCAAACAAATATCAATAACAACAAATTTTAAAAAATCCACAGTTAGTCATATCTGAGTAAAACTGTTAGTGCCAGTATCGCAAAGCCCAGAAGCCCAAGAAAGGCAACCAGCTTAGGTGAGAGGCCAGGGAAGGTTTCCTGGAGCCCATGATGGAAAAGCTGTGAGCTGATTCATAAGGGATAAGTAAACATCAGTCAGGTGAGAGAGGGGAACAGGGATAGAAGATGAAGTGTAGAGAAGGAAGAGCACTAGGCAGAAGCCACGGTGTCAGCACAGTGTCACAAACAGTGCTCCCTGCCACATGAAAATGTAAAGTGTGAGGCGGGGCAGAGGAAATGAAATAGTGAGGGAGAATACAGAAACTGCAGAGAAAAAGAGATCTTAAAGGTAGAGATAGGAAAAGATACATTATTTCAAAAGAGTAGCAAATCAGTGTCACAGCTGACTTTTTTTCCTGTGATTATAGAAGCAAGAAATTGTGGAACAGTTCAAGGTGCTGAAAGAAAATGACTGCCAACACAGCATACCAAATCTTGGCAAAAATATCATTCAACTATGAAGCAAAGAGAGAGAGAGGGAGGAGGGAGAGACAGAGAGAGAAACAAAAACTGAGATTGTTTGCTATCAGAAAACTAATTCTAAAGGGCTTTCTAGGATGTATGTCAGAGAAAAAATTAATTCTAGATGGAAAATCTAAGATTTGAGGAACACAGAGTAGATGTGGTAAATATGTGTGTAAATCAAAATGAACAATGAATGCATAAAATAATAATAAAAATATCTTCTGGTGCTTAAAAGTAAAAAAACGGTATTTCATTGATGATAACATACCGCTGGCTATAAGGTGCATAATATATATGATGTCAGAGGAAGGATCTGGGGAGGCCTGATAGTTGGCCTCACCCGCTCCATCCTCTTACCAGGTTCTTGACTCTGCCACAGGAAAGAATTCAAGAGCAGGGTCACAGTACAGGATTAAAACAGTTTTAATGTAACAGATAAGGGATACAGACTTCACAGAGAAAGTGCAGCTGCTGCAGAGACTGAGCAGGGCCCACCCCAAGTTTAATACAAAAGTCACAAATACACACTTAAACTTTACTCCAGAGTGCAGGTTGGCTCAAGAGAGTGAGCAGCTGCTTGCCGAAAGTAAGCTTGATACAAAAAGAAAGCATACACATCTCAGCCAACAAAGTACAGGTTGGCTTCAGGAAAGTAAGCAACAACCTGCCTCCTGCCGGGATTTGGCTTTTATAGTTTCACCAGCGAATACATATTCATGCTATCTAATGAATGTTCACCTAAGGTGGTTCCCTGTTATGTAACATGCTCAGCTGGTTTCTTTTTGGATCCTGTTCATTCATCAAATGCTATCACATGCACTGAACATATTCAAGAATGCTCGGTGCTTTTTAGCACTTCTAGCAGAAGGTTATTCAAAGGATAAATTCCACTTTACTGAGCATGCTTGGCTACCAGGGTTATATAACCCTTCTGTACTGAGCATGCCCAGCCATTGGATTTGCATAAGCCAGCCCCTTGAGGTCTCAGTTTCCCCAAGTTGGTACCAAAAAATAGGTCTAACTAGCAACAGGAACACTCCTCTAGGGGAGGGGTTAGAGGAGGGGCATGAGACCTTGGGGAGTGGCTTGAAACCCAGAGGTGTGTCCTGAAACCTGAACCCAGGGAAACTGAGCACCTTCTGTCCCATATACATCACAAAGGGAAAAAACGCAGCTAATTAATGTGTGACAAAGACTTTAATACATTCCTGAACTTATATGAATCATCCTATGTCATTGCTGGTTTGAAATTTCTTTGATCTGTTCTACAGAATTTAGTAATTTCTTGTGACTTCATTTGCATCGACAGGCATGAGTTGTATTTCACTTTTGCCCTTAGTAACAAAAGGTAGCATGGCTTCATCCACTTGTGCAAGTGATGACAGCCATATCAGGACTGCTACCTGGAGCCAACAGCAACTGTGATCACTGATTGTAAGACGTATCGCGATTTCAGAGATGTTAGAATGCAAAATCATATGCATAATAGAATTGATAGAATGCCATAAAGCACATCATGACAATAGCATATAGGTCAAGAGAAATTGTTCAATGATCTTTATATATATATATATATATATTTTTAAAGATGACCGGTAAGGGGATCTCAACCCTTGGCTTGGTGTTGTCAGCACCACGCTCAGCCAGTGAGCTATATAGGATCCGAACCCGCGGCCTTGGTGTTATCAGCACCGCACTCTACCGAGTGAGCCACAGGCCGGCCCGCAATGATCTTTATATTTTCTGGAAGGAGGGTAAAAGGTATTAATTAATGTAGACTTTGATAACTGAAATACACATGCTGTAATTTCTGAGTAACCAGTAAAAAAACCAGAAAGAAAACATAATCACATAATTTTCAACTAGCAGAAAGGAAAACATGTATTGATAAAAATATCAAGTCAATCCAAAAAAGGCAAAAAAAAAAAAGAGAAAAAAGAAACATAAGAAACAAACTAGAATAGTATATCTAAATTCAGGTGCACTAGTAATTACATTGAGTAAATTTGTTTAAATCTAATTAAAAGATTACCAAACTAAAAAAAAAAGTCAAATTATATGTTGGTTATAAAGCACATATTTAAACCTCAAGGTCACAGATTGTATTTTTTTTTTTTTTTTTTTTTTAGTGGCTGGCCAGTACAGGTATCCTAACCTGTAACCTTGGTGTTATAAGGCTTCACACAGATTGAAATTTGATGTTAAAAAAAAAAGCTGGAGGAGCTATACTAATATCTGACAAAACAGGCTTTAAGCAAAGATAAAGAAGAAAAACAGTGCTTGATATCAGAAACATATACACATTTTTAAATAGTCTTGAAAGTAATGACATGACATTAAGATATATAAAGCAAAAACTGACAGAATTTCAAGAAGAAATTGACAAATCTGTAATTGTTATGGGAGATTTTAAAACACATCTCTGTTATCATTAGAGCAAGCCAGCAAATAAATCAGTACAAATAGAGGACTTATTTTTTTTAATTTTATCTTATTTTGTCAATATACAATGTGGCTGATTACTGTGGCCCATCACCAAAACCTCCCTTCCTCCTCCCTCTCCCCCTCCCTCCCAACAATCTCCTTTCTGTTCGCTTGTCATATCAACTTCAAGGAATTGTAATTGTTATGTCTTCTTCCCTCCCCTCTCCCCAGGTTGTTTGTGTATTTATTTATGTATTTTTAGCTCCCACAAATAAGTGAAAATGTGATATCTCAAATAGAGAAGATTTAAATAACATAATTAATTAAATCAATTTAAAGGACATATACATACACACACACACACAATCAGCCCTCAATATCCATGAGTTCTGCATCCACGAATCCAACCACCTGTGAATCAAAATTATTTTTTAAAAATTGTGTCTGGGCCAGCCTGTGGCTCACTTGGGAGAGTGTGGTACTGACAGCACCAAGTCAAGGGTTGGAATCCCCTTACCAGTCATCTTTAAAAAATAATAATAATAAAAAAATAAATAAATAGATAAATAGATAGAAAGATAAATAAGTAAAAATTGTGTCTGTATTGAACATGTACTGACTTTTTTCTTGTCGTTATTTCCTAAACAATACAGTATAACTATTTACATATTTTACAGTATAATTATTTACATAGCATTATTTCCTAAACGATACAGTATAACACTTACACAGCATTTGCATTGTATTAGGTATTCTAAACAATCTAGAGATGATTTAAATTATGCAGGAGGATGTGCATAGATTACATGCAAATACTACACCATTTTATATCAGAGACTTAAGCATCCACAGATTTTGGTATCTGCAGGAGGTCCTGAAACCAATCCTCCATGAATACATATTCTGCATTCAACAAGAATAAAATACACATTATTTTCAAGCTCATATAAAGTTTTTATAAAGACTAAACAAAAATTGTGCCACAAAGAAAATAAAGAATTGAAATAATGCATGGTATATTTTCTAATTCATATTCAATTTAAGCTATAAAAAAGTTTTAAAAGAATTATTAGAAAATATTGATGTGTCTTAAAAAACCCTGTGGGACAAAAAATGGACAAAAACTTATAATGAAAATTAGAAATATTTTAACCAAATGATAATAAAATAATTTATATTAAAATTTGTGAGATGCAGCTAAAGTTGTTCTTAGAGGGAAATTTATAGCCTTAAACACAAATGTTGGAAAAGAAGAATGGCTAAAAGTTAATAAAATGAATCCATTTCAAGAAGGCAGACAAAGCAAAATAAACTGGAAGAAACTATAAAAAAGAAAATAAAGAACATAAATAAATGTAGCTGGCTTTGAGAAAGGCTTTCTGATGAATTTGAACTTTGATACTCACGTGAGGAGGACAAGGCAGAAGAAGAGCAGAGCAGTCGCAATGGCTCCATACATAATGCCCTGGATCAGCCCTTTCATGAACACATTGGAAACTAAATTCTGATCTGGAATCAGAGGGAAGCGAGAGTGGTTTTTCCTGTAAGGCCTTGAAGTGTGAGCTACAACCCTACTCTCTCCTCTGGCCTTGTGCCCATCCTCATCCTGGTCCCTAACTGTTGTTTTACTAGCTCAGTCACTACTGCCCTGTATACTCACCTGGCATAAAGAAGATGCTTGAAGTGTGGATTCCATATTGGTTTTTCCCCTCACAGTAAAGTCTCGTGAGTATTTCTGGCTCCCCAATGAGGTTGATGGTGCTGTTGGCCCAGGGGGCAAGTATGGTAGAAGTCACCTGGAGGATGTTATCCATGCTGTTCACATCCACAGGGGCATCTCCCATCCACCACTGCACAGAGGGAGTGGGGATCCCGTGGAAGGAACAGCTGCACTGCAGTGTCTTCTTCAAGGCACAAGAGGAGTTGAACAATCTGGCAGGTGCTGTGGGGAGAAAGAGTAAGGAGTCAGCCAGGCATCCTGACTTTCCTTCTCCACTTCCTCCAGGACGCAATCTTCTCTTTGTCATTCACAAGGAGGTTCAGAAAGACCTTCTGGAATCCTAGAGAGGGGCTGGGGACTCAGAGAATTCTCCTTCATCCTCTTCATTTGCCTCAGAATTGGGCTCAGCTCTTACCTCTGGCATTTCAGAACTAGAGGCCAAGGGAAGATCTGATTTCTCCCCAGACTTCTCCTCCTCTGGGACTCAGTCTTTCTCTTGGGCCCACCATTTCCCCAGACTCTGGACCCTGCCCATGCCCACAGAACTCACAGACCACTTGGAGCTTGACCACGCTACTTCTGGTTAAGTTAGCTAGGGAGGTGTTCAAGTGACATTTGAGAGTGGTGCCGTGGTCCTCAGGCTTCAGGGTGAAGTGTAGCCCCAAGGAGGAGGAGTTGCTGGAGACAGTTGGGTTGGAGGACACGGCAGGTCCTTTCCAGGAGAGGAAGAGAGCATTCGTTTCTTTGCAGTCGCCTTTGATGGTACAGGTAGAGGTCACAGTTTCCCCAGACACAAGAATCTCTGGGATGAGGAGCTCTGGTTTTTGGGTCAGGTCTGGAGGAGAGAAAAGGAGTGGATTCAAACCTTGGGGACAAAGGACCCTCANTGGGTCAGGTCTGGAGGAGAGAAAAGGAGTGGATTCAAACCTTGGGGACAAAGGACCCTCATGGACACTTCACTGCTGCACAGTGTTTCCAGTTTACAAAGTGCTTTCCTACCCATTAGCTCACTTGGAATCCCATTCCACCTCTCCAACAACCTTATGGAACCTGGGATTGTTATTGTTGGGTGGTTTTTCACCAATAGATTTCCTTTTTCTGTGTGGAAGTGGCACACCCCATTGTCCAGGTGAGCAAACTTAAGACACTTACTTAAGATGGCAGAGCTTGAACCTGAACTTTGGGCTTTCAAGACCAAGAATGAATGAATTTTCTGAGGATCTGCATTGCCTATGACTCCTTACCTGTCCCTCAGACTAGACTTCCAAGTGTTAGCTTCTACTCTGCCTCCATCCCCCAACCCAACTCTCCACTCAGGCTCAGCCCCTTCCCAGCCAATCTGTGATCATTTCCCCCTTATCTCTTACTGGCTGGGTGCTGCTTGGCAAGTCACCTCCCCTCTCTTTGCCATTTCTATTCAGAAAAATAACCAACTGCACCAGTCTTCTTGTATTATTGTTGTAAAACTTAAACACCTAAGGTTTTGTAAAGCCCAGTGCCCAGTGTAATAAAAACCAACTTCCAGAACCCCCTCTGGATTTCCTTCTTTCCAAACTACTTATTGCATGAGATTGAATGTCACCTGACACAGAGAGTTTGATATTCTCCCTCAGGAAAGCACTTTTTTGTTCTCCTAGATCTGCATCGAATAAGTATGTCATGCTGTCTTTTTTGGGTATGTCGCATATCATCAGGGAACAGTCTAGTTCTTCAAGATCTCCAACAACGTGGAATCTGTGCCTGAAGTTATCATCTATGGTAGCATTGGGTTTATTTGTAGCTACAGGAGAACTGATATTTTTATTGAGCCAGTAGCCCATGATCATGGAATCACTGGGGGATTCCTTGGGAAATTCAAATATGCAAGGGATTGCAGTGCACAGCTCCTCTTCCACTGGTATCTTCTCAACTTCCACCAAAACGTGAGAAAGTAATCCTGTGAAGAGAGATCCAAGTTGAAAAATAGACTTATCTAATGTCCTCCAGTCTCTCGCCTGTGCATTAAAGGATTAACTTTACCCAAGAAAGGTTTAGCACTTGCCCCACTCCTGGAAGGGAACTCTGAGTCCTTGGAATATCCTGCCTGATAAGAATGTCTTTGTTTACCTGGTGTGTTGGAAAGGATTAACTTTACCCAAGAAAGGTTTAGCACTTGCCCCACTCCTGGAAGGGAACTCTGAGCCCTTGGAATATCCTGCCTGATAAGAATGTCTTTGTTTACCTGGTGTGTTGGGCTACACCAGATAGTCTGTACTAATGATGTGATTTAAGGTGGGGGTCTTGGGCCCTGCAGTATCAGCTTGACCTCTGGAGGGGCTGGAGACTAAGATCATCCATACCTACACGACCAGACCCCCAGTAAAAACCCTGGACTTAAGGTTTGGTGAGCTTCCCTGCTTGGCAATACTCTGTGCATGTCACCACATATTGTTGCTGGGAGAAATAAGCTCTGTTCATGCAGCTCCACTGGGAGAGGATAGCTGGAAGCTTGCACCTGATCTCTCCTGGACCCTACTCTATGTACCATTTCCCTCTACTGATGGTAATCTGTATTCTTTTGCTATAATCAACTGTAACTACAACAGTTCTGAGTTTTGTGAGTCCTTCTTGTGAATTATTGAATTTGAGGATAGTCTTGGGGACTCCCAAATTGCACCGCCTCAATCCAGTCTGCTGAGCTTTTTTTGTTACTCTTGTTGTTGTATTAATTGTATTTGTCGTCATTTCTGAATCTCAGTTTCTCAATCAGAAAAATGGGCACAATAATACCAATGCTGCAATGTTGTGAGAATTAAAGATGATAACTACAAGTCCAAATGGCCCTCTGTAATGACAATTGCAGACTGTAACTTAGTTGTTAGCTCTTAGTGAACAGTTATTCCTTCCTTTTCCTTCTCTAGTTCCTAGATGACAGCTCTCTCATGTACAAAATAGATGGACTGGTGAACTACATGATTCCTGAGGCCACTTCTACTGCAGCCTAAGATGATGGTAGTAATACAGATTTCCTGGTACCTTCATAGATATCTGCTTAAGCCATTCTTGTAATGGTTTTACCTCCCTAGACATATGGGGAAACTGAGGCTCAGTGAGATTAAGGTCTTGGCCCCAGGTCATAAATGATGGAGTAACAGCATCAGACCTGGACCGCAGCTTCCCACACTCTAAGCCAGTACTCCAAGTCTTCACACCGAGGGACCTTGACACCTTGGTTCTGGGCCACCATGCTGTTTCTCTTCTGTAAGATGTGACTCAATAACACCCACCACACCAGTGGTGATGTTGAGAGAGCAGATGTGAATGCATTTATTATTTAAGTTCTAGAGCAGCAGGGGCATGGCATTAAAATGGAACTAGGAGTCAAAGGAGTTGACAAAATCTTGCTGGCAAAATCTCTAGTGTCTTTGGGTGAGTTGCTTAACCTCTTCAAGCCTGTTTCCTCATCTGTAAAATGGGAATAATAATTCTTCAGGGAGCTGTTGGGTACATTAAATGGAACACATGGTGGGTTATAATGTCAATCACAGAATATTCACAAGGAAGACATCCGTTACCTACTGTTTATCAGGTACCTGATGTTTTACGCCCTCACCTCTTCATGTTACCTCATCCCCTCCCATTCTCCACCTTCCACATCACGGCCCTTGCTTCCCCGGACACCTCCCACCCTTCCTCTCATTCTATTTACCTAGCCATAGCAGTTGTAGTGTCATCGCACCAACAGTGTCTCAGAGGCAAGAGAGGACCAGGACATGTCCTGCTGCTAACTCTGACCTCAGATCTGCAAGTCCTAGAGGGCAGGATTTGGAAAGGATGAGAAGAAGGGCAGCGGTAAGAAGCAGGGATGGAGGGAGAAATAAGTTTGCTGCTTCCTAGAGGCTCTTGTCTCTTCAGCCACCCTTAAGGTCTGTTTATCTTTCGAACTAGGAGCCTCAGGGGACCAGATGCTGAGGAGCTTCAAGGATGGGAGTTTGTCCCTATGATTCTGTGTGAGGTCCCAATATCATGTCTGCTTTCTTATTTCTGGAGTCTTCACTCTTAATCTCTTCTCCTGTCAAAATGCTTCAAAGGCCAGGCTTGATGCTGAGGAGCTTCAAGGATGGGAGTTTGTCCCTATGATTCTGTGTGAGGTCCCAATATCGTGTCTGCTTTCTTATTTCTGGAGTCTTCACTCTTAATCTCTTCTCCTGTCAAAACGCTTCAAAGGCCAGGCTGAGGAGTTTGGATTCTCTCCCAAGTCAATGGGAAAAGTCATGGAAATCATGGAAAGGTTATGAACCATGGGGGAACAGGGATGGGTGGTATAAAGGTCCCTCTAGGTCTGCACTGAGGAGGAACCAACAGTCCAGGAGAGGGAATGGTGAAGACTGAGCTGGAACAGTAGCTATGGGGAGTGGAGGGAAGGGCATATACACAGGTACTTCAAAACGTTTATGTAAAAATGGAATTAAAAGATAACACGAATTTTTTCATGAACTTTTTGAAGACACCTAGTGGTTAAGAGAGATATTTGAGAAATAAACAATTTTTCTATGGCTGACAGGATAAACTCCAAAATCCCTTGCCTGGCATTGGAAGATCTCCGTGATTTTACCCCACATGTCCCCTATCTCCACTGCCCCCTTCCCTACACCCGTCACTCTTCCCATGCTAAAGAGAAGAAAGTATTCTTTCTACATATATGCCATGCATTCCTACCTATGTATGTTTACCCTTTTCATGACATCCTTCTGCAACTCAGTCCTCTACCCATGTTCAAATCCTATCTCTTTCCAAGTCCATGTTAAATGTGACTTCTTTTCGGAAGTTCATTCTTAAATTTCCAAAGCAACAAAGAAGCCTCCTTTCTCAGACTCTCCTCGGTACTCTTATCTGTCCATTGCTCGTAGGGCACCATCTCAGGCAGACCCTGAGAGTTGCCTACCTGATATCTATCTTCCTCTCCCTCCTTATTATTTCAAATGTGTTCAGGTGATCAAGTTCCCTGTGTGAAAGAAAAAAAAGTTCTATTTTCCAGCCTCTTTTGCATCTACTGGTGGCCATATGACACAGTTCTGGCCAGTGAGCCAAGAAGAAGAAAAATACTATGAAATTATTATCAGCAAATAAAAGCCTGTTCAGCCACTCCCCATCCCACCAACCCCCCACCCCCCCACACACACACACCTTTTTTTGGCATCACCGTTAAGCTCCAAAGGCCTGCTTTTTGCATATAACGCTAGCTAATAAAATTCCAGGGCCTGGTTTTAAAAAAGTAAGTTTTCATCATAAAGTAAGTGAGTCTCAGAAAGAGTTGAAGAAGTTGTTCCCTTCCTCTGCATCAATAAATCGAAAGGTATTGTTCATTGTTATAAAATGGTTTGAGGAATCTCATTTGATTCTGTGCAAAACTGAGAATGTTTGTAACAATATCATTTATACAGTTTTGTATGAATATTTATGACTATACTGACTTGTTCTGGTGTCTGTTAATACAAATCTGCTCTTGGAAGAGCAATGTAAACAAAGTGGTCTTATGAGACTTCAAAGATGTAAGAAAATATTCCATGTCTTATGAAAATTATCCCCCCCCAAAATGAAATTCTGGCTGGTTGTCTTACCTAAAGATTTCTTGCTCTGGTAGTATTGATTGTAATTGACATCTCTGTTTTCCAAAGTTGTATACCTAACTGCAAGACCACATTCTTCTTTTCTCTCATGTGGACAATGGGAAAATAAAACCCTTTGACTCTGCTAGAAATTTGTCTACTTAAAATACTGTATTAGTCTGTTTTCTGTTGCTTATAACATAATATCTGAAACTAGGTAATTTATAATGAAATGAAATTTATTTCTTAATTTCAGAGGCTGGTCCAGGGGGTGCTTCTGGTGAGAACCTTCTTCTGGGTGGAAACGCTCTACAGGATCCCACGGTGACAGGCAATCACACGGCAAGGATGGCGTGAGTGAGAGCTCTTTCACACGCTCTCCTTATCAAGCCACCAGTCCACACCCACGACAACCTATTAAACCTTCAACCTATTACTCCATGAATGGGTTAATCTGTTCATCAGAGCACAGTCCTCACAATCTAATCACCTCTGTAAGGCCCTACCTTTCAAATAACATAATTTGGTTTCCCACCCCCTCAATATTGTTACAATGGGGATTGTTTCTAATAGAGCTTTTGGGGTACACATTTCACCTACAGCATTCTGCCCCTGGCCCCCAAAGTTCATGTCTTTCTCACATGTAAATACATTCATTCCATCCCCAAAGTCTTAATTTGTTTCAACTCAAAAGTCTAAAGTCTCATCTGTGAAATCAAACAAGTTATCCATTTCCAAGACACAATGGTGGGACAAGCTTAGCGTACATATTCCCATTCACAAAGGGAGAAATAGGCCAAAAGAAAGGGATAAATGATCCTAAACATGTATGAAACCCAGCAGGGCAGGCATTAAATCTTAAAGCTGGAGAATAATCTACCTAGACTCCCTGTCTGCCGTCCTCTGCACACTGGTATAGGCAGTTGCGCCTCCAAGGCCTTGGACAGCCCCATCCCTGTGGCTTTCCTGGGCTCAACAAATGCTTCAGCTCTCTCAGGCTGTGTTGCACACAGGTAGCTCTATAGTTCTGAGATCTCCGTGGTGATCCTGCTACCATGGCTCTACTAGGCAAGGCCCTGGAAGGTGTTCTCTGCTGCAACTCTGACCTTACATTTCTGCTTGACATTGCTGTAGTGGAGGATCTCTGCAGGGACTCGGCCCCCATGGCAAATCTCTTCCTGGGTCCCCAGGCTTTTCCAGACATCCTTTGAAATCTGGATGGAGGCTGCTAT